GTCTTCTATCGTAAATTCACTATTTACGTCTCCCGGTGTCGTGCCGGTTTTGTCGTAAAACTTCGGCGGGCCATAACTTCTTCTTTATAGCTCGGATTTCGGCATTCTTTATATGCACGGAAACCTTGAGACATATTCTACAACTTTATGTAGAGATATCGGGATTATCTCACACTTTAATTTTGACGCTCATTTTTATTCTTTATTAATTATACATTTATAATTAAATAATAAACACATAAACACACATAATTCACATAATACTCAAATATTTCATATTTATTACTTCAAAAAGAGTTACAATAGTTGACCTAGACTATTACATTGACAAAAATGCTTAGCCCTGAAAACCCGGGCGTTACAATTCTCACCCCCTTAGGATGATTCCGTCCCGGAATCATGCATCAGCAAACAGATGTGGATAGCGACTCATCATGTCATCCTCTGTTTCCCAAGTGAGATTCGGCCCATTCGAATGTTTCCATCGGACTAGCACCAAGTCGACCATCTTGCGTCGTAACTTCTTAGTCTTACGGTCAATAATTGCCTCAGGCTCTTCGATCAGCCTTTTATTCTCATCCATCCTTAATTCCGAGATTGGAATTATGTCGGGAACATCTCCCATGAATTTCCTCAAATAACACACATGGAAGGTGTTATGAATACCATTGAGTTCTTCGGGCAATTCCAGCTTGTAAGCTTGGTTCCCAATCCTCTGAAGAACTTTGAATGGTCCAATAAACCTTGGACTCAACTTTCCTCGTTTCCCAAATCGTATAAGTCCCTTCCACGGTGAGACTTTAAGTAAAACGGAATCCCCAACTTCGAAGGTTATCGGTCGTCTTTTCTTGTCGGCATAGCTCTTCTGACGATCCTGAGCTGCTAACATTCTTTCCCTAATCACCTTCAATTTCTCAGCAGTCTCATGGACTATCTCGGGGCCCATAAACTGCTTCTCTCCGGCTTCAAGCCAACAAGACGGCGTACGACACTTCTGCCCATACAAGGCTTGATAAGGAGCCATCTTGATGCTCGAGTGAAAACTATTGTTGTAGGAAAATTCTACCAGAGGTAAGTGCTCGTCCCAATTCCCTTGGAATTCGAGGGTACATGCTCTCAGCATATCTTCCAACGTCTGAATCGTTCTTTCACTCTGACCATCAGTTTGCGGATGGTAAGCAGTACTCAAACCAACTTTGTACCCAACTCCTCTTGTAGACTCCTCCAAAACCTCATGTGAAACGACTATCACGATCTGACACAATAGTAAAGGGACACCGTGAAGTCTTACAATTTCCTTCACGTAAGCATTTGCGAGCTTATCCATAGACCACTTCTCGTTGGCTGCTATGAAGTGTGCACTCTTGGTGAAACGATCCACGACTACCCAAATCATGTCGTGACCATTCTTCGTTCTGGGCAGTTTAGTCACAAAATCCATGGTGATGTCTTCCCATTTTCCCATGGGTACAGGTAAGGTTCTAAACTCCCATACGGTTTTGATGTTGTGCCTTAACCCTCGCACATGTTACGCACTCAGCCACATACTTCGCAACATCGAGCTTCATCGTCGGCCACCAGTAGTAGGGTTTTAGGTCCCTATACATTTTAGTGCTACCGGGATGAATCGAGTACATGGTCTTGTGTGCTTCTTCCATTAGAAGATCTCTTATTCCTCCCGTCTTAGGTACCCAAATTCGATCTTGGAATACCTTCAGTCCTCGACTGTTCGTACCGAACACTAACGTTTTTCCCAAACGTTCTTCCTTTCGGTCATTCTTTTCTAAGGCTTCTTCTTGAGCTTTCCTGATACTTTCCACAATCATCGAGACGACTTCAATTCTTAACGCTCTTGGCCTTCTTCTTTCAAGATTGACTTTCCGACTGAGAGCATCAGCAACTATATTTGCTTTACCTGGGTGGTAAAGTATCTCACAGTCGTAGTCCTTGAGAAGTTCTAGCCAGCGTCGTTGCCTCATGTTCAACTCCTTCTGATTAAAGAGATACTGGAGACTCTTATGATCAGTGAAGAGCTTGCACTTCGTGCCGTAGAGGTAATGCCTCCATATCTTTAAGGCGAATACTACCGCTGCCAACTCCAGATCATGAGTGGGGTAGTTCTTTTCGTGCTCTTTCAATTGTCGAGATGCGTATGCTATCACCTTTTCTCTTTGGGTCAGAACACAACCTAACCCGACTCCAGATGCATCACTATAAACTGCGAAATCTTCGACTCCATCGGGTAGAGAAAGTATCGGCGCTTCACATAACTTCTTCTTTAGCTTCTCGAACGCCTCATCATGTTTCTCAGTCCATGTATACGTAGCTCCTTTATGGGTCAAAGCTGTTAATGGAGCAGCTATCAAAGAAAAGCCTTGGATAAATCGTCGGTAATATCCGGCTAATCCTAGAAAGCTTCGAATCTCCGTGGGATTCTTCGGACGTTCCCACTTCATTACAGCTTCGATCTTGGCAGGGTCAACCATTATTCCTTCTTGGTTAACAACATGACCCAAGAATTGGACTTCCCGTATCCAAAAGTCGCATTTGGAGAACTTTGCAAAAAGCTTCTCCTTCTTTAACACCTCCAACACTTCTCGTAGATGCTTGCCGTGCTCCTCCTGGCTTTTCGAGTATATGAGAATGTCGTCGATGAACACTATCACGGATTTATCGAGGAATGGTTTACAAACCCTATTCATCAAATCCATGAATGCTGCGGGAGCATTGGTTAGTCCGAACGACATAACCAAGAACTCGTAGTGTCCATATCTTGTTCTGAATGCAGTCTTCTCAATATCCTGCTCTCTCACCTTCAGCTGATGATATCCTGACCTAAGATCGATCTTTGAGAAGTAGCTCGAACCTTGCAGCTGATCGAATAGATCATCAATCCTCGGTAATGGATACTTGTTCTTCACCGTTGCCTTATTCAACTCTCGGTAGTCTATGCACATCCTCATGCTTCCGTCCTTCTTCTTCACGAATAACACCGGAGCTCCCCAGGGTGATGAACTAGGTCGAATGAAACCGCTATCCAACAGCTCCTGAAGTTGCATCATGAGCTCCTTCATCTCCGTCGGTGCTAATCGGTAAGGTGCCTTTGCTATCGGTGTTGTTCCTGGTAATAAGTCTATACGAAATTCTACTTGCCTATCAGGTGGTAATCCAGGAAGATCTTCGGGAAAGACTTCCGGATAATCGCACACAACCGGTATATTCTGCACCTCTTTCTTTTCTTTCTTAGCATCGATTACGAATGCCAAGTACGATGCACATCCCTTGGACAAACATTTCCTAGCTTTCATCAAGGATATGATTCCAGAACTCACTCTGCGTTTGTCCCCGTACACCATAAATGATTCCTTTCCGGGTGGGTTTATCCTAACTATCTTCTTTCGGCATAATATCTCGGCATCGTTGGCGCTAAGCCAATCCATACCCAAAACGATGTCGAAACCGGGACAAGATAGCTCCATCAATCTCCATCAATCTCTCAAAAACAGGGACCTTTATGCATTTTAACCCTTCTCCATTCCAGATCTAAGGTAGCAATCTCAGATCTAACCTCTAAACTCCAATACATCAAAAGATATGAGCTCTAACACCTCCAATTATGATGAATCTAGATAATAGCAGCTCAAATAATGAAATAATACCTCAAAAGGAAGCTCCAAGAGAAGATTAATCCGAATCCTTGCAAATCCCTTTGATCCAAGTCTCTTATCCTTCAAGATTTCTTCAACAATCACTTCCCCAAGCTCCAAATGCACTCAAATACTCCACAATCACGTATCTAGGGTTTCTGGACTTCAAGGGAGATCAAAGAGGCTGGGGAGAGGGTATATTGTCCTTTAAATAGGGCTCATCCTCTGGATTTATGGTTTTCTGCACTCAGCGCCTACTCGCCGAGTAGGCCACTTAACACGCAACCAAAGTCGCGACTCTACTCGCCGAGTCCACCCATGGACTCGCCGAGTTGCCCTTATACATTTTCACTTTTAGCCCTTCAACTCTACTCTTGATATTGCGGGATGTAACACGATCATTATCTTGGTATATGATATTTTTATAGTGCGGATCTCTTCAATCAAGATTACATAAAAGGGAAGAAACTTTTTGGTATAAATTGGGAATACTCCATCCTAGGTTACTTTTATAAGTTATTCAAGCAATTGGCTTTCTCTCTAGAAAAAGGATCTCTCAACCATCATCTTCCTCAAGCTCTCACAATGTCAAATCCTCTTTACGATTTTGCTCCTATTGCTGATATCGTCAAAGGTCCTCATGCCCTTGATTCTCCCATCATCATTCAAGAAAAAATGTGGTGTTATCTGATGACATTCCAAAACAGTTCTTGAACTCAGACATCAAATACTTCGTCGACTATGTCAAAAGCTGCCCTCTTCGACATGCCTTTTGCGACTTCCCCGTTCCATTTTACCCTAAACAAGTATGTGAGTTCTAAATTCATACTTTGTTGATTCTGATTATCAAACCATTACTGGACCCATTAGAAATGGTCAATTTAGAGTTACTATTGATGTGGAATATTTTAGAACTACTCTTCATCTTCCTCATTTAGAAAATTATTCTGAAACTCCTTCGGAAGAAAAGTGCAAGTCTATTCATGAAATATTAGAGTATAACTTTTATCTTCAAGGCACCTCTCATGATCCACACAAATACACTCTTTATTAGTGTTTTGATGTAGGATGGAAGTACTTAACAGGGGTTATTGGCAAGTGCCTTGGACTCAAGACTGGAAGCTTGGATCAACTGAATCTTTTTGAGCGAAGAATCTTGTATTCTGTTGTGTGCAACAAAATATTGGATTTTGCTCAACTTTTTCTTGATCAGGTGATTGATTGTATCATTGGGAACAAGAATCCAATATATGTTCCCAATCCCCATTGGCTTGATTGATTTTGGCTTGTGAGGGAGGCTATATTGAAAATCATAGGATCACCATTCCATTTCTTGCTCTCTCCTCAAAGACCATGAACGCTTCTCTGTCTGAAGATGACTTGCATATTATCCTGAGAATGCAAAAGTGGATTACAAAACCCTATGTTGTTGAATCCTCTGCCTCTGAAGAAGAGGATTATGAGGATGATGGTGAACAAAGTACTAATAATGAAGGAGAGGCTGAAGCTAACGAAGAAGATGATTTAACCATTGAGAATGGATAAGACTTTGTTCAGGGAATGAACTCTCCTTCAAGAGTAAACAATCACATTTGATTCTCATCTACTTATTCATCCACTCCCTCCACAGATGGATCAACCCCACCTCTGATGCAAACTATTGAGCCACTGATCCAACTTGTGATCTCTCCAAGATCAGCGTCTCCTTCTCCTCAACCTGAGAATGTTCCTCCTATGCCAACACCTATTCAGAATGTTACAGTTTATCAAGGGGAATCCAACTCTAATTTTGAAACAACTACGCTTTCTCAACTTTCTCTACATGTGAATATAACTCGGTCCTTGGGAGAAAGGGTGACTATAGTGGAAAAGGATGTTACTGATATGAAGCGATTTATGGTCTTGGGTGATGATGATGATGATATGATTATTGATGACACCCCACCAAACTCTTTAGGTGATAATCCTCATCTACCTCCACCTCCATCATCAAATACTCCTCCACCATCCCATCTTCCTCCTCTTACTCTTTCACCACCTCCTGGCTCTGCTCCTTAATTGGATGTTGCTAAAAAGGAGGAGAATAGTCAAGAGAGTCTTGATCAACATATGTAATTGGTGGTGGTTGTTGCATCAAATTCATCTCAGCCTGAGACGACTGAAGCTGGAAGGGTTGTAGTTGGCTGTCAAAAGGAAATTCTTGTTGCTGAACAAGAAAGCAACATTCCAGATGCTGATGCAACAACTGATAATCAACCCATTCCATATGATGGTGATTAATCAGAAACTAATGACTATGAAGGGTTTCTTGAGATAGGATTCATGCCACAAGCTGATGTTTCTGTTGTTCCTCTGAATGTTGTCTACCCTGAATCGTATTTTGAGGGGGAGATTCCTCATGGAACTAATAGTGACATTGGGTATGATAATGATCAACTCAATCCTCGAAAAAGGAAGGCTTCCTTATCAGGGGAGCCCATGACGCTGAAGCTGAAAGCTCTTCTACTACTGGTGATCCTTCAGCACCCCCTCTTTCCAAGAAAAGCAAGCTTATTTTTGATCTGAATGTTTTAGTTAAATTATGGGGCATAATTGTTGAGGGAGTAAGAGAAATCACGATAGAGAATAATGCAACTATTCGAGAAAGAAAAGAAGTCGGAAAAGGAGAACGTCTATTTGCCAAACTTGCTCAAGCTCTTGCTTCTGCTGATGTTCAAAGCATTAATAATCAAGTCAAGAAAATTCAGATCTTCAATAATGGTATGGGCAAAAAAAATAGGGTTTTAGAGCTGAATGACAGGATCAACAGAAAGAAGTTTGGAGATGTTCTGACTCGTAGAACAAATCCTGATCCCATCATTAGGGTGAGATACACCAAACCAAGGAACAAGTATCTAAAGCTTCACTTGGTCAGGAAGAATACTGAGTATGAATATACTGAGGTTGTATTTGCTCGTGAGCTAGTCAAATTTGGCTACAACGATTGGATACAAATTCAAGAAATTATCAATAAACACAAAGGTAGTCATGCTCAAGAAGTGACGTTAGCAATTCAGCAGCTGCTCAATAAAGTCAAGAAGCTTAATCGTGTGCCATCACTTGGTCCTTCTAGACCATCTACCCCAGGAAGACCATGTGCTCCTAGACAATCCAATAATACTAAGTTTCTTCTTCTATATGGAACCCGCTACATCAACAATAAACTGCCAACGGGTGTTGAACCAATTCAATACATGTTTATTCGAGAACTAGAACATAGCATTTTCTATCTTGACGGTCAAAATTACATGTGCTTTCAATACACTGATGAACTTCCCGCTGCTCCCACTAAACACTTATTTCATCTTCGCATGGAAGGACTTAGTCATTTTGAGCATGAAAGAGAACATTGTGTATTGATCTCCCTGGAGATTAGTAAAAGATTGGAAGAACTTAAAAATGATGATTTCGAATGGGTTAAACATGAGATCTTAAAAAAACCGATAAGTTCTACAAAGGTTTTGATGACTCTGAAGAAGAATATTAGTTTTGACATCATCAGATAAGGGGAGATTATAAGGTCACACATTATCGTCTGATGAGTCAAACACTCTATATGCTAGCTGACGGCGCCAACGTCAAGATTAGCATCAGCGTCATCGTCTCAAGTCTATCAACGTCAGTGTATAGATAGTAATTTTGTGTGACCTTTGTATATTAGGTAGTGATAAAGATAAGTATATAATAGATATCAGATCTGATATCTTTGTTATGAAGATCGTTTCTTAGTATAGATTAGATACAATCCATTCAATCAAGGGACATACCTAAATATATTAATATATATTTAACATTAAGGTGAAACCCTAATGTAATCGTCTTGGTGATTGTATTTGTGACAACCCATTTTCTTAGTGAAAATAAATCCTTTCTTGGTGAAAGACTATTTGGTGAATTACTCATGTTATTTACTTTTTATTTTTCCTTTATTCGTTTAGTAATTTTATTCTTGTTTATTATACTTGAAGTGTATCCGATTGACACAAACCTTCAGATTCTTATACCAAGAATATATGTAGCTTCTCCTAGATCCCTCATAACGAAACATTTCCCAAGCCAAGACCTGACTTCCTACAAGGTTGGAATAATGTTTCCTGTCAGGAGTATGCCATCCACATACAAAACTATAAAAGTTATTATGGTCCCACTAACTTTGACATACATGCAAGATTCATCTTCACTTATAGAAAAATCAAACTCTTTGACTTTTTTCATGAAAGCAAAATGATATGCTTGTTTAGTCCATATATCGAATTTTCAGGATTGCATGCCTTATTAGGGAATTTGGCATGTACAAAACCCCCTGGTTGAGCCATCTATGTCAAGCATTACCCTAATTGACTTAATCTTAGCAACTGGTGAAAAGGTCTTATAATAGCCAATCCTTTAGGTTTGAGTAAAGCCTTTTGCAACCATCCTGGCTTTATAAGTTTGTACATTACCACCCATGTCAATATTCTTCTTGAAGATCCATTTACAGCCTACTGTCTTTCGACCGGGTGCTTGATCAACCAAGGTCCATACTTGTTATCATACATAGATTGGATCTTACTATCAAATTCCTCTTTACACTTAGCAATCTTAGGGCCTGCCATCGCTTCATTGTAGTTAGTAGGCTCATCCAAATTTACCAGTGTTTCATCACTAATAAATGTATCACCTTCTGCAGTTATATGGAAACCATAGAACGAAGGTGGCCTGCTAACCCTACTGGATCGATGAAGGGGCAATGAATTGTCAATAGGCTCAACAATTTCATTTTTAGGTTGAGAGCTAGCATCTTCAAAATTTGTTTTATCGGATGAATCTTGAATCCCTTCAAGATTAATCGTGCTCCTACTGCTCTCTTTGGAAATGAGCTCTCTCTCGTGAAAGACCCCTCTTCGAGCTACAAACACCACATTGTTAGTGGTTCTGTAAAACATGTATCCAAAAGATTTTTATGGATAACTGATGAAAAAACACTTCTCGAATTTTGGTTCAAGTTTGTATGAGGTTTCTTGCCTAATGAGAACCTCACAACCACATACCTTGATATGCGCGAGCGAAGGAGGCTTCCTTATCCATATTTCATGAGGTATCTTGGCAACTTTCTTACTTGGTACGTGATGGAGGATGTGGGCGGATGTTTCTAAGGCATACCCACATAATGATATTGGAAGCGAAACACAAATCATCATGGAACGAACCATTTCAGGTAAGGTCCGATTATGCTTTTTCAACCACATCATTTATTTTTGGTGTCTTAGGAGGTGTCAATTGTGAAACAATTCCACATTCCTTCAGATAGTCGTTAAAATCGATATTGAGATACTCACCATCTCTATCAGATCGTAGCATCTTTATCTTTTTGCCCAATTGGTTCTCTACTTCGTTCTTAAACTCTTTGCATCTTTTAAAAGTTTCTAATTTATGTTTGATCAAGTAAATATAACCATACATACTGTAATAGTTAGCAAATGTAACGTATTAGCGATTTGCATCCTTCGTGGCAGATCTAAATGGTCCATACACATTTGTATGGATTAGGGCCAATAAATCTTCACCTCTTTCACATGTACTAGTGACATGTGATTTAGTCATGTTTCCTAACAAACAAGACTCACATTCATCGCCTGATTTTAGGTCAAACAATTCCAACACTCCATGCTTTTGGAGTTAGGTAATACATTTCTTGTTGATGTGCCCAAGATAACAATGCCATAGGCATGACTTGTATAAACTATTAGAAGAACCAATATTATACACATTGTTTCCTAATTCATTCACACAAACAATAGTTTCATATACACCATCACAAGGATAAGCTTTGACAATAAATGCACCATTAAAATAAACTAAAATAACACCATCATTATTATCAAAACCATAACGATATCATTGTCTAAATAAAGCATGAAAAGAAATAAATTTTCAAGCCATCTCTGGTGTATAACAACAATTATCTAAATCAACCCTAATGCTATCAAACATAAGCTCATAAGTCCTAATCTTGGTAATAGCCGATCTTCACTTGTTCCCAATGATTAGGTTCAACTTCCCATGCTCGACCTCTTTACATTCCTTTTAGTCCCAACATATCAGAACAAATGTGGAAACCACATCTCATATCAAGAAACCAAGAATTTGAAATATAAGTATTATTGAATTGAGTAGAATATATACCAGAAGAAGAGCCAACTACTTTGGCCTTGGCATCTTTCACTTCCTGCAAGTACTTAGGGCAACGTCTTCTCCAATGTACCTTTTGGCCATAATGAAAGCACATAATCTCTTTTGGATCACCAACAGAAGGAGTATTGAAGTTGGACTTTACTTTTGATCCACTAGACTCTCCATGATGGACCTTTCTTTTTCATTTGGATTGGGATTAGGCCTTTATTTTCTTTCCTCTGCTTTGTAGGACATCCATGATAGGGATTTGCATAGTTGTTGGGATGAGACTTCTTCATTCCCGCCTCATCCGTTTGCAACGGATTGTGAAGCTCAATCAACGTGTTCTCTGTATTATTCAAATGATAGGTCAATATGAACAGATCATAACTACTAAGTAGAGAGTTTATGACCATGTCAATGGCAAGGTCCTTATCAAAGTTCACATTGAGCTTTTCCATTTTTTCCACATGCCTCTGCATTTTCTGTACATGAGCACACATAATTCCCCTTTTATTAGTTTGCACACCATAAAGGGACATGACCACTTCATAACGTTCTTGTTTTGCTTTCTTTCGGAAGATTTGAGACAAGGTTGTGTTAAGTTCATATGGCCAGTAATTCTAATAAGTCATTTGGAGCTTAGGTGTCATAGTTGCAATCATAGGTTGCGGCGCGTAGGGTGGAAAATTTTGACCCAACCCATAACCCAACTCAAAAATAAACAGGTCCGGGTTGAGATTTTTGACCCGCCGACCCATTTATTTCATGGGTTGGGTTAAGTTACATATTTGGGTTCTCATGTCAACCTTCCAACCCGACTATATATATATATATATATATATATATATATATATATATATATATATATATATATATATATTATATTATAGAAAAAATTAAAATTTTATTTATGAATTAATGGAATGCAGTCAATATATGACGTCCTTAAATCCTAAAACTCCTAACCCCAAAATTGCAGTGTGAATGAATTATTGAATCAAATTTTGGATACTTTGCATGAATGTTTTTAATTTCATTTGGATGTTTATGAGTTTATGACTTTATGTTGGAAACCTTTTTTTCTTCAAATGTGTTGCTTATTAAGTTATTATGTTAGATTGATATTTGGTTTTTCATTTCATTAGTTAATGTAAAATGCTAATTATTAATTAATTTAGAGACGTGTGTGACTCATATAAATTTAACATGTAACATGTTAACCCAAAAATGACCCGTCGACTATTTGACCCGAAATCGACCCACTGATATGCAAACCCATATACTTAAATGAGTTATATGGGTTGAGTTGATGTTTCTAACCCACCAACGTGTGACCTGCTAACCGCCAACCTATATATTATATGGGTTGGGTTGAGTCTATGTATTACGACCCACTAACCCATTATCCACCAACTCGACCTAATTGCCAGACCTAGCGGCGCACATCGTGAGATCCACTCGCGACTATTTTTATCTTTTAGTGACCACGGTGCGACCAAGGAGCTGGTTGCGACGCAGTTGTTGAAACATCCCAAAAATTACCATAAATTTTAACTTTAAAATTCCATAATATACATTATGATTTTTTCATCATTTAACCAACAACGTTATCTTTAACCAAAAACAATCATACGAATAAAATTCAACTACGTTCCAAAAACCAATGGTCTAAAGCAATAGAATAAAGTCAATCAAATCAATATCTATAATAAAACATCAAGCGCCCATGTGTATATTCATGCCTTGCATTTCCCTTTTGTGATACATGAAGTTCCTGAAACAATTATTTATTAGGAAAGGGTAAACACGGAGCTTAGTGAATTTCAATACAACACCACGCATTAGTAATATGTGCTTTACATGTAACACACGTATATCAAGATGCCATCAACTTTTAATATAAGCATGCAAATCAGATAATCAAATAGTACAAGGCACTTTCTATCTAAATTCTAACATAAAGGACACATCACAACTCAGATCATATACCAACCGACACTTACCAGCTCACCATAACACATTAAGACTAAGCACTCACTAGAACACGTACAATCCACACAAAACATGTCAATAACATACAAATAGTAGACACTACATAGCCTAGCACCATTCCTAAACAATCAAGTATCACACACAATCTAATGCAACGATATATATATATATATATATATATATATATATATATATATATATATATATATATATATATATATATATATATATATATATATATATATATAATGCAGTGAAAAACTCACCTCAAACTGAATATATACCACAAAAAGCAAACATCAAAGCTCCAATTAACTCAAGGCACTTCCTCCTCCTATAGAAGTGTTATAGAGCATTA